TTCAGCGTGTTTGCTGTTGCTTTCAGGAAAGCGAATTCCACTTCTAATCTTCTTCTGCTGGAAGTTTTTTCCATGCACTTGTGTTGAATTTCATTCAAAGGATTTTTCTGTACCCGTTGATGGGATCAAAGGTTTTCTCCTTCTTATCCCTGCTAATTTGTAGGGAATTACAATTGAAAGTGTTTTCTACTGTTAAATCATATTTTCATTCATTGGACACAGCCTGTTTGTCCATTTAATTCTCTACTATGTTGAATATGCTATTCATTTATTTAGAATAGCTGCTGCTATGTGAGTGATTTTGTCTTAAGTGTTCTTTTCGTGGTGGGGTCCTCCTCCAGTGTTTAAATCAAGGGGAATTTGCTTGGGAAAATGAGTTGAACAATTGCTCGTATTTTCTATGGTTTGAAAGAGTTGACATAAATGATAACGAGTTCTCCCTGACCGTTTGGTAGAACTGGCCTCCAAAACTGCCCCGTCCTGGAATGCTTGAGGGCGGCTTGAGCTTAAATACAGTTTCAGTTTCTATTGTACTATTTAGGTTTTCCATTTTTTCTGTGGATCCGTTTGGTCATTTTTAATGGTCCATTTTAGCTAGGATATCAAATGGAATGGCATGTTTATGATAAAAGCTTTGTATTCCAGAAAATCTCAAACATGTAAACAGTAGATAATCATGTCTTACACCCGTCTACCTGACACCCAGTGTCACCGGTCTTCCATGCATTTTCCTCCCAGATTCTCAGAGGTCATTGACATGCTGAGGGTTTTTAGGTCTTTCAAGCGACATTCCAAGCCTGCAGATCACTCGGGTCAAGCGGGGAAAAGGCACAGCCAGGCTGACTAACTTTTGAGGGTCTTACCCAAAGCATTGGCGGCAGCTTCCAGAGCATCATGTGCACATACTCCTGTCCTGGGGACGTCGTCCCTTTTCTGGCTGCTTTCTAGGAGGAAACACAGAAAAGGAAATTGGAAACATCACAGCAAAAGGAAGTTTAGGGCTGGCAATTAGGAGCTCAAAATGTTTCACACCTTGAAAGAGCTTGTGTGAGCAGAATGGTTTCAAAATGACCACGTGGAGGGCAGACCCTCCAAGTTCGTGCTGTGCTTTGGGGGAGAATTGGGAAGGTGGCTCCAGGGCTCCAAGAAACCGTGCAGATGGGAGCTGGGGGCAGGCCCGAGGTAATGCGTTCCTTTCAGCATTCAGGGCATCCATCCACCAGGAGGACCCTCCCTCGCAGAACTTTGGAGATGCAGAGTTTCGAGCAGGAGGTGGGCCTGGAGGAGGTCTTGATGCCTCCCCAGGGCCAACTCCCACAGCCCAGTGTCTTCTCTCTGCCCCAGCCCAGGAGCGCTGACCATCCCCCCGGCCGCCTCTGGAGCAAGTTATAGCATGTTTGCCCGGTTCTGACATGTCAGATGGACCATCCTCAATAGCAGATTTTCAGCCAGAAAGGAAGGCCACCTCAATCAGTGTACACAGGGGTCAGAAGACATATCCTGGTTGAGAGTTGTCACAAGGTGGGGGAAGGTACATCTTAGACACACAGTGACAAGACCTACGTCTACTGATCAGCTAACTTGGGCATCTTACAAGAAGGTCACATCGTGTATAAACTCACACCAACGCTTTGAGCTTGTGCTGGTGCTGCGCCCATCCTACAGATCAAGAAATTGAGGCGCAGAGAGTTTACGTGATTCGCTCGGCTTATGAGCAGCAGAGCTCGTATTCAAGCTGAGCTTTCCACGGGTGCAAAGCCCTGTCCCTGCACTGGCCTGAGCTGTCTCCCCCACAATCAAAGGGGTTCCAGCGGTCCTCCCTGGCGACCTCATGTGTGACGCTACATGCCACATAATTTAGGGACTGCAAGGAGGCCAAGCAGTGGTGGCAAGGAGAGCCTGACACTGGACCCTGCCTACAGGGCCTCTCCTAGCCTGATCGGGTTGCCATTTCTCCTGACATGGAGATGGGGGCCTTGGAGAGAGGCGGGGTCTAGGACGGAGGGTGTGAGGATAGAGAAGGTTATACTTGGACGTGGGTGTTGGAAGTGCGGCCCTTTGAAGGCTGCTCCTATTTTCAGGCATGGGCCATGCTCTCCCAGTCACCTGCCCAGTCTGCTCCCCTTCTCTCCCAGCTGGTTTGGGGCTCGATATTTTACTGAAGGCTCACTCCTGCGGGCAGGCTGGACGTCAGGCACGTGGCAGGGCAGCAGTCCAATGCACAGAGTCCACGGGGCTGGAGACTCTCATGCATGCACACTGGTTAAGTGTCTGTGGAGCCCTTTGAACAGCCCCTTCGTCTGAGTACTGGGCAGACATGGCTTTGCCCCCTGATGCTGTCTTGTGGATGTCCCTTGGCATCACACCCTTCATCTGCCATCAGACCAGCCCTATTCCTGTGCCCAGCCCCGGCTCAGGGACCGAGAACAGGCAGAGGCCTGGGACGCCGTACTTGCTCACGAAGGGCCCTGGGGCAGCGGCCAGTGATATTTGCCACAGAGGAGGGCAGGTGAGAGCCAGGGAGGAGGTCAGCCACTTGCCAAGGAGGCTGGAGTTCTGAGCAGGCTTCAGCCACGGCTGGGGAATGGGGGCTTCTTAGAGAAGCAGGACCATGGCTGAGATGCCTCACACAAGCCCCTCAGGGGGCAGGTTCAGGGCATCAGAGAGGATGTCAGAACCTTCCTGCTGATGGGCAGGGGAGCTGCTGTGTGCTCTGCCCTGCCCTATTCTGGACTGGCTGGGGACCCGGTGTCATGTGCCCACACAGAGCCTGCTGTGGAGGACGCTGCACCCTGGAAATGCCTGCCTGACGCACCCTGTGAGGCACTTGGTGCATCCCGGCTGCTGCAGCCCTGTGGTCCATGGCTGCCCTGGGCGAGCGCTGTCCCACACCAGTCAGTTCCCTCCAAGAACGGACACTCGGGGTCCCTGCTTCCATTCTGGAGTGCCCCACATGGGTCTGGTCCTGGGACTTGTCCCATGAGCACCCACTTCATGATGTGGTCCAGGGATCCAGCTCACCTGTAGCCGCATCAGCTGCCACGTCCCTCCCCTGGAGGGAGTTCAGATGTGATCTGGAGGGTCCTCCTCCTTCCTCCTCTCCTGGGACAGCTGACCCTCTTCACAGCCTGCCTCCTGGGAACCCAAAGCCCTCTCCTGCCCGGCTCCTTTCCAAATACACCTTTGAGTCTAGGGGTGTCTGGGTCCTGGGGAGCATCCTGGTGACCATGCCTGCCATCTGCTAGAAACTTTCGTCTGCTCAAACTCTCTGTTTGGGGACACCAAGGTCCTAGCTGGCTCTGTGAGTGTCTGAGAAGACACTCCTCCCTCTGGCTCAGCCTCAGAAAGCAAAACCTCATAGTGACCCTGACCAGGCCATCATCTTAATCAAACCTTTGGCATTACATAGGGAATTATTTGAAAATGACTTATAATCATAGTGATTTGGCTCACACCCACATGGCAGTGATTATTACTTACCAGCCATTAGGAGACTCAGCAAAAGGCTTCATCACGTCCTGCCAGCTCTCCCTGAATTTCAGCTCTGCTGAAAGAGGATTCTTATCTGGGGACCTCCAAATGCAGATATGTGCACAAGAACATCGGCACCGGGGACTGAGCGGTTGTCAATAGGGGGACAGGCGGGACAAAGCCCCACGCTGGGCAGACCCAGGAGGCCAGGCTGGGGAGAGAGTGGGCAGAGTGGACAGCAGGGCTGATGGAGGCCCAAGGCTGAGCCCCAGGAGGAGGACACCCTCAATCCCTACAGGGCCATTCGGCAGCAGGCTGCTGGCCTCCTAAGAGAGATGCATCACAGTCCTGAGGGGACTGAGGGGTGTAGCACAGGGGCCTAAGGGAGCAGGTGGCAGGAGGAATTCCTGCAGCCAGCCTCCTGTGGGGCAGATCCTGTTTTGAACATCTTCACCTCTGCCCAGGGCCCCGAAGGCACGGAATCTGGCATCTCACCTCTAAGGGTCTAATGTGCATGGCTTAAGTCCCTGGGTGGAGAAACAGCGTGGTCAGTGTCCTGTGTTGTCACAGCTTGAGAATTAATCCACAACCCCTGTGGTGCCTTCTATAGAGAAGGCTGTGGCAGACAACGCACCTGCTGCTATCAGCAGCAAAGAGTCCTCATAGGACCCTTCCTGAGCACAAGAGGACTGGCAGTGCAGTTTCCCCATTGGTCCAGGGAGGAGAGGAAGACGAGGTGTGGGGGAGCCCTTGACATCTCTCCAACACGTACTACCGTCGCGTAATAGATGCTCAAGAAAAAGCAGCTGTTATAATTTATTACGACAAAATCCCCTTCATTTGTGGGAGGGGTTTCTGAGAAAGTCAAATTTGCCCCGAAATTCTCCACTTTTTGCATGTGCCCACCTACTATGTGGCAGGTGCTTCAAATCCAAGGTCACGTCTAATTTTCACGTTATCCTCCAGGTCTCAGCAGGGAGAGACTGCCCTCTTCACTCCACAGCACAGCCTTAGCCTGGAAGTCTCTGCTACCGTCCACATTGCTGAATGGGCCTGAACACGTGGACACGGGCGCATACTGGATCTTTACTGGTCAGTAGTCATTTCCAGGATGATTTTGACCCCGGCTCCTACCACTCTCTCCTCTGGAAATTTTTGGTTTCCGTGACGTCTCAGAGACCTTTGCAGCTTAATTGGAAACTGACTAGAAACTCAGCCCCAGTTGCTGCTCTGCATGGTTCCCTCCCTGAGGCTGTATTATTCCATTTCAGTGTGGGGTCTTCCCCAGCCAGGGGCACCTAACTCAAAGCTCCCAGAATTCCCATCAAAGACGGCCTCCTTTCCTCTTTTGCAGCTGCCCTTCCATTCAAACTGCCTATTTTCATCCCTTTAAAATCGAGCCCTTGCTTACAATTGGCCAAAATAAACTCCAGGTAGCAGTGAGCTTGGAGTGCTGATCTGCAATGTTTGTTGATGTTCATTGTTCTGCGTTTCCACAGGCCACGTGAGGCCCAAGGAGCTCTGGGGAGATGAAGTTCAGCTGCCTCTCCTTCCGGCAGCCCTATGCAGGTTTTGTCTTAAATGGGGTCAAGACCATGGAGACGCATTGGCATCCCCTGCTGCACAGCCCCCGGGACTGAACCATCGCCATCCACATTGCTCACAGGGACTGTGAAGACGCAGCCTGGAAGGAGCTGCTGGTGGAGAGGCTGGGGAGGACGCCCGCTCAGATTCGGGCCTTGCTCCGGGAAGGGGAAAAGTGTGGCAGTGGAGTGATAGCCGGCAAGTGCTGCTGTGCTGAGCACCGCTCAGACACCTCCCAGGGCCGCCCCCAGGGCTTGTTTTCTTTTGAACTGCTGTGTGTGGGGTGTGTGGTTTCTTTCAGCAACACACCTTCAGAGGGGGAGCAGGGGGCCCTGGGCTGGGGGTCTGCCTGCCGAGGTTCCACGACCCGGGGTGAATCTTTTCTCCATCCTGGGCCTCAGTTCCCATTTGTGATCCAAGGGGCAGGGTCAGGTCCAAGTCTGCATGTGGGGTTTGCCTGTGTGTATGTGCTTGTGCGTGCATGCGAGTGAGAGAGACCCTGAGAGGCAGCATAGCACACAGAGCGGGTTGGACTGGCCTCTGGACTCAAGCTGCCTGCCTGGCTTCACGTGCCTGTCCCACCCCCAGTGCCCACTGCATACTGGGCAAGTCCCCTGACCCCTCAATGGTTGAGGCCCCACATCAGCTCCTGTCCCCTGGTGAAGTGCTTGGGGGCCTGATGGCCTGTAAGTTCCCTGCAGGGGCCGGGGCCCTTGTGATCTGTTCCTGCTGCCCTCAGCAGTCTGGCTGGGATCTGCCCGTTATTTTGGTGGGGTTGTTGAGGACAGGACCCTCTCCTCCTCATTGTCCCTCACTCAGCCTCTCTCAGAATCCCTTGGACAGAGTTTGGCACGTCAGGAGTGCTCACTCAGAGTGACCCACTTCACTCCGTGTCCATTGGGCGATATCATCTTAGTCTCCGGTGGCTGTAACTTTGAATACCCATGTTGTCTGACAGGCAGCCCTTGGTTTATGGAAGGAAAAACATCTCTGTGCTCCTCCCTTTGTGCACAGGGCTCGTTGACATTGGGGAAACTTTGCAGGGTCCAGAAAACTTAGCTCCCGATGAGGTGGTGGAACTGGAAAATCAAGCCGTGCTGACCAACCTGAAGCAGAAGTTCCTGACGGTGCTTCCAAACCCCAGGTGGCTGCTGGAGCCCATCCCTAGGAGAGGCAGAAAGGATGTCTTCCAGGTAGACCTCCCAGAGCACCTGATCCCCTTGGGGCAGGAGGCCTGAGGAGCGTGGGCTCTTCAGAGGAAGGTCACCGAGAGACCAGCTAAATTGTGACCCAGCAGCTCGTCACACGGTGGACGTGGAAATCAGGTTAGGTGTGGATTGGCACCGCACGGGAGCGCGCTACCCACTATGTGCTGTTCACCTAGACAGATTCTCCACTCAGATGCAGGGACGGGGAGCGGGACTTTCCTTGCAAGATGCCTCTCTGGGCTCAGTGACAGTCTCAAGGACTTTGACCTTCAGGAAAAAGGGAAAGCTGCCAGGGAGTTCTTGGCGCTGCCACTCATTTTGCTCCAGCTGATTTCTGGATTGACCAAAGAAATACGTTTTAAGAGGACTCATTAGTGTTCTCCCCTCTCTTTGTTCTGGTCAAACTCAGTGTTTGCACAGCACCCAGGGGACGTTGTGTAGAGGCTGGGAGCGGGCGCTGAGTGATTGCTGGAGAGTGACCAGTCCTGGATGGCCTCATTCCTGATGAAGAGGACCTCAGACTTGGAAACAGAGCACCTGTCTGTCCTTGCAAATGACTCTTTCTCTGTTGTAAAAGAGTCCCTTGGCGCATGGAGCATGCGTGTTAGACATGTCGCACAGCTACTTCATGTGCAAAGAAAGGAGCCTAAATACAGCTCTTTCAGAAAATTGCTAGGTAGTGTTGTTTATTTTGTGGGAAGTCTTTTTTCTTTCATTCTCTTTTTTTTGGTCATTTATTGGGAAAATTTCTAATGGTTGTTACCTATGAGCATGATGGGCTTTCCCCCAGGCAGTTGTCGGACATCCCTCGGCAAATGAAGTGGCCCTACTTTTAGATGGACCTCTTGGAAGACCCCTGGCTCTTGGGCAAGAAACATTCAGCTGCTGATCAGAAACTTCCTGGCATCATAGGGGGACCCATGAGGAAAGACCCTCCAGTTTCAAGATATGTCAATAGTGGAATAGTGTAAGGTGATACCCCCAATCAAGAACCGGGCTGTTCTGTGTCCTGACCACCAGGCCAGGCTCAGGGAAGGAGATCTTCTTGGGCTCCCCAGTCGTTGGCTGAATGTGTGAAAATGCTGGTTCTTCAAATGAAAGAGGACAACGGGCACCAAAGCCTGTTTGGGGCCTGGATTTCCAGCCTCCTCAGGCTTATCTGGTGAGGTGTGTATAGGACCGCAAGTTAGAAAGAACACTGACTCACAATTCTCATAAGATTGTTTATTTACTCCATCAGAGTTTTGCATCATGGTTATAAAATGGTAGTTTTTATCTGTCACCAGTGACCTGTGAGCTTAGGGACCTGGATTGTCCTTGAAGCGCTCACAAAGTGAACACTTGTAATCTGAGGAGCCTTCCTGCTGCTCGTCCTCATCAGGGACCTCATGTGGAGCCATCTCTGAGAGGGAAGCCAGCAGGATGGAATAACAGGTGTTGTATAAGGACATCACCGAATCATAATTGGGGTAATCTGGGGGGCTGGTGGGTGGTTCCTCTGCACCGTCTCCCCCGGCAGTAGCCAGGGGCACAAACAGAACATTCCTGGATGTGCCCTCCCCACTTGGGCTGCCTGGCTCACTTGGGTGACGATTTTCTGTGGCATGTCCTGCTACACTGCTCACAGAGTGGTTTTCAGAGCACACGAACGACCAGGTGTCACTGGGTCCCTGAGCTTTAGGGCTTTCCTTCTGGGCCTTTCTGTCACCTTTCTTTGGTGGGTTCATTGCGATGGATTCGTGGGGAGCGCCTCGTAGCTTCTACCTGCTTCTTTCTCTTTGGAGTTGTTGCGCTGGCCCCTGGCTGAGTGGTAATTCTCAGGTTGCCTCTTCTCCGAATGTTCTCAATGAGCAGAGGCTTATTTCTCTGAAAGTTGGAGTTACGGTACATCTGAAACGAAATCAATCCTGTTAGTCATCCTGGGAGCAAATATTCATTCCCCCCATTCCTAATCATAATGGTCTTGTTTTCCTAGGGAGAAAAGATCTTTTTAACTTGCTGGCAAGTTTCCTTTTGCCCTAGAGCCTGAGCTCACTCAACATACATAATGCCTAGGTTAAGGTGCATCTATCTCCTTGACATTAACTGACCTCTCAGAGTCTTTCGTCACACCTGCAGATTACCTCTGAGGGGGCTGTCCTTTCAAAGGAGCAAATATACCTTCTCATCTTTCCATAAATAAAGCCTCATGTGAAAAAAGTTATCCTCAGAAATTAAACCCTTTCAGTGCATCATTCATCTTGGTCTACTAGGAAGATGTTCGAGGGATGGAGAACATGGGAAAAAGAAGGACGTTCTACTTTACCATCATTCTCTTGTTCCCTGGAGAGTGAACCGAAGGGTCGTTTGGACGTATTTTGCTGAAGCCGTAGAGATTCAGTTGGCGGATAAAACTCTTCAAGCTGTCTGTTTCAAAAATTCTCCCTGGGCCTCTCCGTTGAAGAATCTCCCTCTGGAAAAGATCCTCTTCAATGATCACGGTGTCTCCCTCGTCATTCCAGCGCACGGACGTGAAGGCGTCGTCCTCAGCTACCATCCAAAGCTTTCTTGGGAAGGAGAGCCCGAGAAGGTGGTGGTTTTCTTCCACGTGGACGATGCCTTGGTTTGGGTCCTGTGGTCGCGGGTTGTCTTGGGGGCCTGGATCTTGGCTTATGGCTTGGTCACTGCAGGTCCCCAAAATCTCCCTTGAATCCAACTTTGGATCCAGGGATGAATTAGTTGGGACCCCTGTTGCTGGCTCTCGGTCACCTGATGGGGCCTGCTTGACTTCATCTGTCTGGTCGGTACCCTGACTAGCCATGGAGCTAGTCTAGGTCAGGAGCACTTTCTATCTGAGATCATATCCCTGAACTCTCAGGTCAGAAATGCCTTCGGTCAGGGTGGGGATGCCCACGTAAATACTGTCCACAAAATTCTAGAGTCCCGGTAGTGCGGCAACCGGCTGCTTAAGTCATCGTTCCCTTTAGTTGTCACATGATGTCACAAAGGTGGCTCACAGCTGGTCTGGAGAGGAAGTTCTGGCCAAGTGTGGGGGAGGGGAGGGGTACAGGGTCCCAGTTTCTCTCTTTTCTAAAAGGAGAGAAACGCGTGGTTCAAGTTCCCAGAAAAGGCTCCCGTCAGTCGCCAGGCACATTGTTTCCTGGGGCCAGGCCCTGGATGGGTTGAGAAAGCACGATCCTATCTCCACTCCCACCCCTAAAGACGGGGAGGGGGCCTGTTGCTGACCCCTCTGATGTACTCAAAGGCCAGGCCCTGGTTAGTCCTAGCTTGGCTCCCACCAAGACTAGGCGGGTCAGATGGGCCCCTGGGGGACCGTGCCTCCCAGAAGACGGTGGTACCTAGCAGGCTGATTGGCAGGGTCTAGGTTGGTAGCCCCCTCCTTCTTCCTCCTACCCCTACTTCCTGCTTTTGTCTCTTCCGGCTCCTCCTGCTGGTTGATTGGTCCTGCTCAGATGGGCCCAAACAAAGAGTCCTGTTTTCTTGCCCCGGGTCAAGTTGTCTCCAGATTAGGGCTGTACTGGAGAATAGCGGGAGTGCTCCTCGGGTTCTTCAACCTCGGTGTCACCCAAAGCACCTCAAACACAGTTTTACCCACAGGACCAGCAAGTGAGTGGATAGCTGCATCCTCCACGGTGCTTGGGAGGGAGTCTCCTCTTGAACTCTGCTTGCCTCCAAATCTCATCCTTCTCCAGATCACAGTGGGATTGTCTTTAGTTTCCGTTACCTCCCCATGGAAACTCTTCTTCTTGCCCAAGACGTGCTCACTTTGGGAACACCTGTGTTTGCCCTTTTCAAGTCACCTTCCCCAGATGCCCTGATTCAACCTCCTTTGAGGCTGTCTCTACAGCCCTTCTTTAATTTAAAGTCCTTTCTTTAATAGAGTGGTTTGGCTTCTGCTCTCCCAGATTTCTGGCCTCCCACTTCCAAATTGGATCTCTTTTCGTACTACTTCCCCTTTTAATTACTTGATTTGGGGAGTTCAGCATCTATTCTGTTCTGTTGAGACAAAGCATTTCACTGCCCCTTCCCCTGAGCCAGCCTTGCTCTCCTTGCCCCAAGCCCACCCCCACCCCTGACCCGTGTGTCCCTCCCCCGCCATTACCTGGTTGGTTAGGTCCACTGAATAATTTTTTTGGTCTTGGGTTAGATGCTTTTCAAAGGGCTTACTTTACAGAGACAGGAGTTTTCGTTTGGCTAGCCATGAGTAAAGGAAGCCAATATGAAGGTACCCATCAATGCGTGCTTGAAAATAGATGAGAATCTGGGTGTGGGATGGGACAGAACTCAAATGAAAGTCATCCTTACCACAGAGGAGAGGATACGACAGTGATTTTGGTGATACGTGTTCTCTAGCTGTTGTGGGCAACTTTGTTCTTAATATTCACTCTGCATAGAGAGATAGAATGGTACCATGGGAAGGCCTTGCCTGCAAGGATCCTAGGTCCTTGTCCCAGCTCTGCCACTAAGTAGGGTCCTTTGCCCTCTCTGAGGGTCAATCTTTTGTTTCTAAAAGGGGAGTGCAAAGAGGGTTTGAAAGAGAATCTCCCAAGATGCCTTTCAGTCTGGGGACTGTAATCCTTAACGGGGCCACAAGGTCCACATTTGGGCTTGGTCTGTGGTCTTTGTGCTTCTAAACAGGTTTCCAAAGCGTTTATTCAAGAAGTCAGTTTATCCTGTAGGGACATGCCCTCAGAGGCTAAGAATTTAAATGGAGGCCATTGGTGGCTTCTCAGAAGGGGGCTCCTGGAGTCTTTGGATGAACAGCCAGCTTCCTTGAGTTGCACACCAGAGTATTTTTGCCTCAGTGAGTTCTGTAAAGACTGAGAATGAAATTTCCTTGTGGCCTGTGCTAGCTCATGAACTCGGCTGATGACTTACACAAAGGCATTGGGCCGTTTGGTGGGAGAGGACAAAATGACTTGGGATACCACAGTCTGGCATCCTGCAGAGAACCAGTATTTACTTGATGTGATCTAGGCACTCTTACATCCTAAGTGTTCTGTAGGACCATTAACTCATGTTCTTTGTTTCAGGTGTCACAGAATTTCCGCTGGGGTTAAGAATCTAGGACACGAGGCTCATCTTGTCTTCTGAAGATGAACTACTCAGGGTGCTGACTTCAGTCTAGTTGATGAAATGTGTTATGGAAACAGCTTCCCTCGACTAAGCCTCCTCAGTCCCAGAATTTGAAACCTGGGTCCTGTGGCTGCCAGTCAGACGATCTTTATCAGGCACCTGCCGTACTCAAGACCCTTTGAGAGAAATGACTGGTTGGCTCTTCAATTTTCCAGAGGCCCCAGAGATGACTCATAGGTGTCGCTGCCTTATGGATGAAACCCCCAGAGTCAGGTCACTCTAGCAGATCACAGCTGATTGGGCTCTGGGGACAGCCACCCCGGAGGGAAAGTGATTTCAGTCTGGACTCCCTGTGGGTTCTGCACAGCCTGCAGCCATGGAGAAAGTGCCTAGCTATGTGGCCTTTTCTGCCTCCCCCTCCTTCCAGCCCCCCTTGCCGCATGGGTCCAGGTGGGAGCTGCGTCCTTACTGGTCTCCCTCCCTCCCGGGTATCAGTTGTGCCATTGCAGTTGGTTTGCTTTGCACCCAAGGGATTCTTCTCAGCCATGGCACAGACACAGTCCCTCATGACATTGGGGACCTGACTTTTCTAGCCTCCCGGCCACTGTGCTCCTCTTATCCACTCAGGTGTCTGCCAGCCCAGAGGCCCTCCAGCCTCTTTCACTCACCATCTGCTGGTCTCCAGCCCTGGGCCAGCCCCACTTGGCCCTTGGCGCTATTCTTTGACAGGGAATGGTCCTCCTGCTGACCCCTCATATGACAATTTGTTTCTCTGTCCGGGGGCCACTCAGCTTGTCGGGATCTTGCTCCAAGGCTGCCTCCTGCTGAGTGACATCTCTTAGACACTTGGGCCCCCTCTCCAATGCCTCTCTCCCAGCAGCTCCCTTGCCTTCCCCCCTTAACCTGCTCCGGCTGCTGTAACAAAATACCACAGACTGGGTAGCTTATAAACAACAGAAATTTATTTCTCACCATTCTGGAGGCTGGAAGTCCAAGATCAAGGTGCCAGCATGGTGGGGTGAGGGCCCTCCTCCTGGTCCCTAGACGCCACCTTCTCGCTGTGTCCTCACACGATGGAAGAGGCTGGGGATCTCTCTGGGGCCTCTTATACGAGGTGACTCCCATCCATGGGGCCTCTACCCTCATGACTTAAGCACCTCCCACAGGCCTCGCCTCCTAATGCCATCATCTTTGGGGGTTAGGGTTTCAACAGATGCTTTTGGGGGGACACAAACATTCAGATCATAGAGCTCCCCTTCTGATAGTGCCCTCCTGACCCATAAACCCCTGGACGATCTCATGCTGTGAGGGACTCCCTTCTAATGCAACCCTGTTGAGGCACCACCCAGTAAAGCTTGTGGTGTGTTGCTGCCTCCCCTGGTCATCTCTTCCTCCTGGGTCAGCCTCCAATCCCTCGAACCCCCTACGGTTGGCTAATGAGCTCTTATGAAATCACGTGTCTGACCCTTAGAGGCTGATGATTATCCAACCTGAGGTGTGTTGTTTTCAGGGGTCAATTGGGAGGGACTCTAAGGCTGACAAGGCAGAAAGGGCTTAGGGAAGCGTTGCTTGTCACTTGGACTTGGACCCCTGCTGTCTGGCCTTGCAGCGTCTCAGCTTTCCTGCTGCTGCAGAAAAGCCATTGACTTTCTTTAGTACCCCAAACCCACAAATCCTAATTGGCGGGCTTTACCTCTCAGCTCAAACCTGAAACTGTCCATGACGGGCTGTTTCGGCCTCAGCATGAGCCCTGCTGAACGGAAAGCCGGCCAAGCTCAATGAACAGGTCTTGGATTCGGGGACTGTTGCAGATTTGGGACACCCTTCTGTGGATATGAATCTGTCAAAGCATGTTGAGAGCTGTTCTGCACCGTCTGGGTCTTTTGCAGATGCCCACGATGAAGGGCTCGATATCGGATGGGACCAAGTGAGATGGAGCTGCTCATGGGCACTGCATTTCCGAGGCGGACGGTTGCACTCCTAACTTGGAATGCCTGTGGAAGTTGTACATTGGGGGCAGGCCCATCACAGGGACTGGGATCCCTCCATGCACTCCAGACACATCCCACTTAGACCCCCTCTTGGGACGTTCCTCTGCCATTGACTAGGCGGGTTGGTTGCAGTTTGCAACAAGGACTGACTGTCTGACTGTTTGCCTCACCTTTCTCCTGGTGCACGCACCAGGCAGTGTGAGTGTTAACACAGCTGTCCCCAGAAAGGCCTTGTCTTCTTCTCCACCCCTCACTGGATAAGCGATCAGGACGAAAAGGATTATGTAAGTCCATTTTGAAAATTGTTGAAAAGTCAGGATTTCATCCTGACCACTTCCTGAATATGATGTGTCTTTCTGGTTCACTTGTATGACAACGTTTGTCTGGGAAAATGCCTTTGCCCCTCTTGCATACAATCCTTCCAGACAGAAGGGTCTGGGGGAGAAGAGGGGATGATGGAAACAATGTAAAGTTTGATCACTGAATGGACACATTGATTTTGTAACGATGGAGGAAAAATAAAACTGGGCACTGGGGGATATGTGGTGCAGGGGAGAGCTTTTTGATCTTGGTTCCCAGAACTGCTCCTGGAAGCTTTGCTTTCCTCCTGAAGGAAAACTCACCATGCTGCCTTTGCAAGCTGCTGCAAGTGATGGAATCCAAACTGACTGCTGAGCCTGGGAGCACACCTGACAGCACTGACTGTGACACAGCCCGGGGTGGGCCCAGCTCTGGCACTTTCCACTGAGAACAGCTGCACCACACGTCATCGACACTGGTCCTGGACAGCTAAAACTGTTTGTAACAAAACTCCTTCAC